ACTGCAGGGTGGTGAACATTGATGAGTTCTGTACTTCCTCAGTCTGTTCTTTGTGTGATGGGTGGTTTGATAAGCATAAAAAATTTTGGTCTGTCAGAGTCTGCAAATCAGTCTGTCTGACACATTGGAATTGAGATGTTAATGCTGCCCATAACATAAGGAACATTTTTTTGCACACAAACACTTATGGAGAGAGACCCGATCCATTTATAAGGGGGACTTACTGACCTCTCTGCTGCCATTTTAACTGTGGCAGGATATGTCTAGCTGGCAGCAGCATCAGCAATGATGACTTTCTATGAAGCCACAATTAGCTATAGGGAGGATTTGGATCTTCCTGATTTAGTGTAATAAGATTTACTTGTTAGTCAATAAAAGTCAGGCAGTGATAATTGATTCGAGTAGTGATGGTGAAAATGTCATGTACTCCAAATCACTCACGGTAAATTATTCAGCGATGGTTTTATATAACCCATTTTTGTTAAATTAATTAGCTAAATATTGTCTATTGTTATTATTATTATTATTATTATGTTACATTATTTAAATAATTAATGTTTAATATGACGTTTATTAAAACTGTTTTTTCTAATATGATTACGCATTTGATAACTAATTTCTGACATTATTCTGTTATTTCAAATGCCCAAAATATAAAAATTTTTGATGCAAAGTTAACTGTGTAACAAAATATAAAATACAACAATAAGCTTTAAAATAAAATAAAAATGGCTACATCTGTTCAATTTACTGTGGGAAAACTTGATGCTGGAATGGTAAATAGAAATTATAAATATAATAATAATATATAATTACAAAAATTAAATAAACAGGTAAAATAAATAACAAATTTTTAAATGTAGGCAATCTTGTTGACAGAAGAACATCACCTTATTGAGTTTCCCTCACTTCTACTTCCACCTGGTGTTTCTTCAGGCAGTATAGTGAACATTAATGTTGCTCGTAACTACGAGCAAGAATCAGCCCAGAGTCGAGATTTTTGGTCACTTCAAGAAGCCATATTAAAAGAGTTTGGAGAGAATTCATCACCTGGATCGGATAAAATCAGAAATAAATTAGAGAATTTGACCGATATAAATATTTGTTTTGGTAATCTTGTTGATGGTGGTGACGACGAGAACGACAACGACGACGATGGTGATCACGACAATAACGGTATTGGTGAAAGTGATAATATAAAACCAAAAAGTAAACAAGAATTAATTGAAATTATAAAAAGAATTGGTGCAAAATATGAAGAACATGTTGGACCTGACACAACTCATTTAATATGTAATGCACAAGGTGGTATTGAGTATCAACGAGCAATTGAAGGTAATATACCAATCGTGAAACCTGAATGGTTGGTTGCTTGTGAAAAAGCTGGTAAAATACTAGCTTCACCTTACTATCTTATACCACAATCAGGTGAAAAATAATTTAATAATATTATTTTTTTAATTAATTAATTATTGGGAGATGTTTGGATAGATTTTAATAATTTATTTGGAGTTTTGGGGTAGATTTAATCAATTTCTTTATTTTTATATTATCATTTCTAACAATAATAATAATAATAAAATTTTTTTGAAAAAAAAAAACAATAATAGAGAAAACTAGAAAAGATCAAATATAAATATTATTTTTTCTTCTATTAATAAAATGTATTATTATATAGATATGCAACTATTATGGCACACATTCGTTTAATACTATTATTCATTTCCTAATAGTAAAAAGAATATATAGATAGAAAAAATATATATATATATATATACATATTAATAAAGACTACAAATAATAAATAAATAGATCATTAATTATAAGAAAAAAAACGTAACTTTTTCGTTTTTTGTTTTTAATATGAAAGATAAGATATAAAATATATATTTATTCGATGATTGATTTTTTGGTTTTAATTTCCAAAATAATTTATCGTATAGTATCATTATCATTTTACCAAAGGACGTACATGACCTGTTTCATCTTTACATAACCTTTCATTGTATTTTTGCATTTCCTTAAGATATGCATTTGCCTTTGGATCTAATGTAGTGGCATCACGACTTTCATCATCCGCATTTACACGTTTTGGTTCAGGTTCGATGTCTGATGATGATGATGGATTAACTTTACGTTTTCCTCGATTTTTCTGTTAAGAATAAAAACACAATGTATTTAGTGATTTGAAATAATGAATAAAGATATTACTTGATAAATGAAAATACCCGTCAATAATAATTGATAATTGATACTTACAATTCGATCTTCGAATGCCTTCTTCCTAATAATACATATATATATATAGTATTATATATTTTTTGAAAAAAGATTTTATTTTACACATTAAATATAATAAAATGAATGAAGAATCAAATGATATTAAAAAAAACAATTACGATTTAATTCGATGATTGTTTTTAAAAGTAAATTTTTTAAAGGAAAAAATTTTATTTTTAAATTGTTAAAATAGTGTTGTAAGTAAAAAGAAAAATCAAACAATTCCTGAAGAAACTTTTCTTTTGTTATTCTAAGAGACTAATTAATTATCTTGATATATTAATCATATTAATCAAAAATTGAAACCTGTTCCTCTTAATCAGCCATATCAAATATGCATACATACAATATATATGCATATAAATATATAAATATACATACAATATATATGTATATAAATGTATAATATAATGTATATGTGTGTATATATCTTGGATCAAAGAAAAAATGACCAAATGGTTTTTCTTTCTTACTTTCTATTTACTTATTTTCTTTGTCTCTATAAATTCCTTATCAAAAGAACAATTATAAATGTATAAATCTATATATTTCTTTAATTCCTCACCTTTCTAAAGCTTCAAGTTGTTTCTTTTTTTCATCTTCCTCTGCTTTCATTTTTTTAAAACGATCCAAAAAACTCCCATCATTTGAAAAAATGTTTATCGCGGGAGCATTCTTTGAAGCTTTTGGAACGCCATTATTTATACTATTAGCATTATTGTTACCGTTACTATTACTAACTCCGTTACCACTATTGCTACTATTACTACTTAAACTATTGCTATTGTTAATGCTAGCATTGGTTGTTGATGTTGTTGATGTATTACTAACATTTGGAGTGTCTTTTGTATTTGATAAATTGTTGTTGGAAGGCCTTGAATCATCATTGTTACTATCACTATCGCTACTATTACTATTATTACTATTCATTATTTATTTCTACAAATTGTGGAAAGTTTGAGAAACAATAAATGTAGTGCACAAATTTCTTAAATTGTGTATTCTAAATTGTGTATCATTTGATTAGTGCTATAACCAATTTTACTAATATCACTTTTTCTTCCTCTTTTCGAATGCAACAAATAATTCGGTCTTCTTATAAGATTGTAGTCATCACACACACAAATAATTGCGCACAAAAGATTTACGGAATCGTGATCTTTAAGAATATCTTTGTTTCCTTCAGAAAAAAACTTGTGATGATTTAAGTATTTAGTCATCTCTCTCTAGATGAATCAAATGGAATTCCCAAATTTTGACATTAGAAGGAGGTTACTAATACCATCTTATCAAATAAATCAAAATTGTTTTTGCTTGATAACATATATTAAAAAAAAAGAACTCCAGATTCAAAATAACTTTTTGACAATAAAATAAAATAAATAATAATCCAAATCAAATCATAACCAAAACCATTCGCTGGTAAATAGATCCTTATCAATCTGATCGAATCTTTATCCTGTTGTATGTATTACCTTGGGGAGTTATTTGAAGAACGGGATATTTTAACCAGGAAACAGTCAAATATTAATTATTTGGTATTAGGAATCTTGGTGTGTGGGGGTTCCTAACCATAACCCCTAACCCTATTCAAATATTCGTTTAATATAATTATAATCACGAATACCCTTATTAATATGAATAATTACGAATATATCACTCCCACAGTAATTATAAAGAATATTCATAGTAATTATGGGTACCCTTATTTATTAAAATAATTATTATATCATTTGTATAATTAATAATCATAATTAATAGATAAAATATCTTATAAATCATTACTATTACTGTTGCTTGAATGTTTGAATATTAAAAATACCAAAAATAATTATGAGTACCAAATAATTATGAAATGAACTTAAATTTATTCGAATATTCGTAAATAGATTGATATTCGAATACTCGTAAAAACTTGCTTTTCGGTTATGAACGCTAGGTGCATGAATGAAAACATGAAATATGCAGTAATAAAATAAATCTTTACCATATTTATAATTAATGTAATTTTTCTAAAACTTCTCTAGTTTTATTATAAGCGAAAAAAGTTACAGCGCTAACAGGAGCAGCTTTAATTATAGCAGGAGTTAAACCTCTATAAAGCCCACAGAAACCTTCATTTCTTATGATAGTTTTAATATTAACTATTATTGAATTGGTATATAAAGGAATATAATTTATAAAAAAATATTTTTGTTTTGGTGAAGGAGGTATTTGTAATTGCATACGTTTACGTATTAAATCTAATGGAAATACACCTGTTTTACTTATTATACCAGACATTGCTCCTATAATCATATCATTTGTTGATGAAAACATTTTTAAATATTGATTTTTTTCCTGTTATGATTTTGGTTATTGTAGTTGATATTGTTTTTATTAGTAAATTTTGAACATAAATAAATAGTAAATAGATGAATTTTTTGATTTTTGATTTCTTTAAATTTACCTCGAATTGTTCAAATGTTTTTTTAAATAATTCAAAGCTACCAAACATTAAACCCATATAGGGAATAATTTGCATAATTGATGCGGTCAATCCTTTATAAAATCCTTTAAATCCTTCTTGAGAATGAATTTGTCTAATTGCATCCATGATTCCATTATATAACTTTGTTTCTCCTTGTGCAGCAAATCTAGTTCTTAATATATCAAAAGGATATGTCAAGAAGGTGGCAGTACTTCCACATATTCCACCAGCAATAAATGATTGTAATGTTTTGTTTGATAATAATACTGATAATGATGATGAATTGTTCTTTTCGTAATTTAAGAATAAATTATGTATTTTTTGATATGTCAAAAATTGTATGGATCCATACGATAAATATAAAAATTCCGCTGAAAGATTACCCTTCCATAAACTCTAATAATAACAACAAAATCAATATGATTTAGTTTAATTAATCAATCAACCAGTTTCTTTACCTTTATTCCTTCTTCGTGAATTATTGTTTTGAATGCATTAATCATCCCAGTATATTTAATATTACCAATATTATTATTAATATTAACTAATTTATTATTATTAAATTCCTTTGATTTTCCCGATTGAAGCTGTAATAAATGATAATATTAATAAGTAATTTATGATAAATATTACTTGATTTTGATTATCGATCTTTACTTGTAATCTGATCTTTACAACATCCAATGGTGAAGAAACAAATCTTTATTAAATAATTAATATTAATAATTAGAAAATCATATAGATTATTATTAGGTAAAATTGATATTCTTGAATTTTACCTAGATACCATACCAGCAACTGCACCACAAATGCCAGTTTCTATCGAAGAAAGCTTTGTTGAAGCTAAAGGAGGTGATGTAGAGGAAGACGATTGTGATGACGCTATTTGTTGTTGTTTAACAAGATCATTATTATCGTTATCATTATTGTTGTAATTAAAATCTAAATGCAAACCAAAACCAAACAGAGTAAATAAACAATTTGTTTTATATACTAATTATTAATTAAAAACAAATTATTTACTTTGATTCATTTAAAAATTGAAGGAAAGGATCTGCATGGTAAAATTCCCTCTTAAAAAATTTTGCCCAGATCGGCATCAATTAACATAGTCAAAAAATAAAAAGAAATTCTCACAATTGAAGCAGGAGATTTTCCTATTATTTGCTTTAAGAAATAAGTTTATTTTTTTTGGCTACTGCCTCTACTCACGAAACTGACCAATTATATGATCCTTTACTTTCTCATTTGAGTTGAATTAATGAAAATGCTCAACTGAAAAAATTCTTTTTAGACAAATATTACTAACAGATTTTTGGGTTCATTGATTTTAGTTTTATAAGGGATCAAATGTAATATATAGTTTAGAACAAATTCAAAATTAATAGTTTAAAATTATATATTAATTAAATTTAACCAAGATGGGGAATGTATTATGTCATGTGATTATGATTATTGGATTACATTTTTAGTTACGTTTTAAATTACATCATCATATGCATGCATACATCAAAATATTTCTTCAAGTCCCTCCCTACATTAAGACAATAAAAATTTTTGTCTTGATATTTTCTTATCATATTAACAATTTACAACATTAATAAACGAAAATATGGTAAAAACTTTTTTATAAAATATATTGTTTAATATATATCAATATTTAACCCTTTGTTTGTTTGAAGTTAGTACGATTACGCTCAAAAGAAGGAACTGTTCGCATGGAAGTTGATCCAAATGAAGATGTAACTTCATTAGGAGAAAAGGTAATAATTT